CAGAAAAAAACCCTTTTTTGAAAATTGAGATTTTATTTATTAGAGAGAGTAAGAAAGCACAAGCAGGGGGAGCAGCAGAGGGAGAGGGAGAAGCAGGCTCCCCGCTGAGCAGAGATCCAATCCCAAGACCCCAGGATCATGACCCAATCCGAAGGCAGACACCCAACCGACTGAGCCACCCAGGCACCCTAAAGATGTCTTATATAATCAAACTGCCAATACACTTTGTCTCTTGTCAAACATTTATGGGGGATGTATGGAGAAAAAGGTAAACATCTTCCAAAGTATATTTTTAGTATCATCACAACATGTTTACTGCAACCCTTATTTCTTCTGAGTAAAGGAAAAGAACTGTTTGGGGAATCAATTTAAATTATCCACAATCAGGGTTTCCAAGACTTCTTTCTCACATAACTAAGCTACTTTTATTACCAGACAGTGATGTAATAAATACTGAGTCCCGGTTGCATACTGGGCTCAGCACTGTTAAGAGATTGGAAGGTGAGTTATATATAGTCATGTTTGTAAGACATTTATTTGTTCAATCATTCAGTAATTCAGCAACATTTACTAGCTGTGTGCCAGTGAGCAAGTTAATCAGCTTCTCTGTAACTTGACCTCAGTTTCATCATCTGTAAAATGAGGGTAATAATTATGAGAATTAAATGGGACAATATTTGCAAAAGACTTAGAACAATGTATGACACAGGAAACACTAATTGTTAGCCTAACTTAAGAGTCCTTTATGTGCCAGGCTTGAGTTTGATTTTTTTTTTCCACAATACAGTTAAAGATGGCCCACCCTCAAGCAGCTCTCAGCCATGCAAGGGAGACGTACATGTTAATGAACGTTATTAATAGAACATGAGAAGTTTTATAATAGTTACATGTAGAATGCTATGGGGAAACAGAGAAAGGAGAAATTCTGTATGTTGGTTAGAGGATGCTTCTATAGACTTGCATGCACCATTAATTATTTGCTGTGTGTCAAATTTACAAAATTACACTTAGTTGTGTAAAACAAGTATTTGGTGTCTCACACAGTTTCTGAGGCTCAGGAACCAGGAGTATCTTAGCTGGGTAGTTCTGATTCAGGGTCTCTAATGAGGCTACAATGAAGTCGTTGGCTGGAGCTGAAGTAATGAAGGGCCTGGAGAATGTGCTTCTAAGTTCAGTAAAGTGACTATAGGCAGGAGTCTTCAGTTCTTGCCACTGGGCCTCTCCAAAGGGCTGCTCATGAACAGGCAGTTGGCTCCCCCATAACAAGTGATGAGAGAGACAGAGACAAATGGAAATGGAGAGATAGAACGCCAAGGTGGAAGCTGCAGTTATTTCATGACCTAATCTGGGAAATGATGTACTATCACTTCCGCCATATTCTACTTGCTAGAAGCAACTCACTAAGTCCAGGTTATACTGAAGGAGAGGGGGATTAAACATGAAGGGAAGAGTATCAAAGAATTTGTGAACATCTTTTTAAAACACTGCAGGTACAGAAGGAAAAGTAAGGTTTAGCTATGTAGACAGGAACAAACTTATGACAAGCAAAGAAATAGCAGAAACAAAAGAATAGAGAATCGAGGGGAAATTGTTATGAGGAAATGGACTTAGAGAGGTAAAGTAGCTTTCCTATCATGTGTTAAACAGTTAGTGAATGGGAGAGCCAGGATCTGAACCCATATTTCTGGTTATAGAATCCAGATCTTATCACTACCTATATTAGGCAAGGTTCTTCAGAGAAACAGAACCAAAAGGTTGCATCTATGTTGATAGCCACATCTATATCTATATGGAGAGAGAGAAAGAGAAATTTATTCTAAGGAATTAGCTCACATGATCATGGAGGCTTGGTAAGTCCAAAATCTGCAGAGTAGGCTGGCAGACTAGAGACCCAGAGAAGAGTCGCCGTTCAAGTCCAAAGGCAGTCTGATGACAGAATTCCTTCTTGCCCAGGAGAGGACAGTTTTTGTTCTATTAAGGCCTTTGACTGATTAGATGAGGCCCACCCACATTATAGAGGGTAATCTGCTTTAAAATCCAATTTAAATGTTAAATCTCATCCAAAAAAACACCTTCACAGAAACATCTAAAATAATTGTTGACCAAATATCTGGGCACTATAGCCCAGCCAAGATGACAGATAAAATGAATCATCATACTACCCTATATGGTAGAGGTAATTTGGGGTTCAGATTGCAAAGGGCCCCAAATACCATACTAAGCAGTTTGTTGAATTTACAATTAACCAATAGCTCTCTCATGGCTCTGTCATGTCTAACCAGACATGACCTTGAACATCTGATAATAGTGGAGTGTTGCCATAGAATATTATAATTCTGTTAGAGAATGTATATTGGACTATTTGTCTATCAGGCTTCATCTTCAGTATGTTTTGACAAATGAAAAATTTGGTTTTATTGACACTATACTTTTTCCTTTCAATACTTCCCAGTCCACATAGTTTTAGTAATTAGCCTTTCACATATTTCAAAATGTTTACTCATTTCAAAAATATTTTTCTCTCTTATTTATTCTCCCCATTTGGACTTTTTTCTCTTAACTTTTTCTTTTGTTTTTGTGCCTTATTTCAAGGATTCTTTTCAGCCATACCTCCTACCAGAGTGAAATATGAAATTAGGAAGGAAGACAAAAATGTACGTGGGAAAAAAAGAACCCAGTTTATATACCAGCTGGACTTGGTGGTTCTAAAAGTATAAATATTGTTGAAGCATCATTTCTTTGCAGAGGGTGCATAAAGCTGAAAAGCTGTTTCATCCTTGCTGCTGGAGAGATTTCTCTTTGTAGCTAACATAGAGCAGGGAACTCTTTACATTTTTCTTGGAGCCTCAGAACTTAAAGTCCTAATGGTCCCAGCCTGCTCTTTTGGCCTACTCATATTCTGGGTCCTCATCGAGGACAAGACACAGATGGGGTGGACGGGAGAGTCTTGTGAGGCCACTTGAAAGTGATCTGAATTATAGGTCTATGATTACATCCTGCCAGAGCAGGAGAGAACAGGAAGCAAAGCCTAGAAAACCAGCAGAATAAAAGATGCAACAAGCTAGAAGAAAAGCAGAACTGGACTTGCACAAAAAATGGGGGCAGAGACCTGGTGGTAAAGCATAAAAGAAGGCAAGAGAATTTGGGAATTAGTTCCATGGATATAGCCCACTTTTCACTTTCCCTCTTAAACACAACGTTATGTAATTTATGAGCTTCAGAGCACCCATGGGTGGATAACACCACTAGCTGGTTTGGTGAATTCTATTAAATGAGCAGATTTTGTGGGTGAGTGAAGAAGACATCAGCATCATTTGAAGGAGATGCTAGTTTCCTAAAAAAGAAACATTTAATGCATCAGTGCTACTCTGTGTTCCTTTCTTTCCCCCACCATCCCCTCATTGCTACAGATCATCCTACAAGCCCAACCAAGTATGATTTCCATCTTTAGTGCTATAGGGAAAGGCCTTCATTAATAGCATGAAGAAACAAAGGTTTTAGCAAAATCAGTTTCTTTTATTTTTGAATATACCAACACAAATATTATGTCGATGAAGAAAGGAGATTTTGATAGTTTATCTTTCTGTTTTTAATGAAATTAAATCTAAACCAACTTGGAAAAATAGTTTTCCTATTTTACCTTGAAAGATTGCCACTGGAGGTATTCCATAAATTCTCTAAGTAATCCATCCACAGGAATACTCTCCACCTTTTAATTGTGTTCCTTTGCATATTTCAGGAAGCTATTCTTAATATATTACTCATTTGAACTGTGTGATAGCAGAAATTAAGACCCCCAAATCTAATCATACAAAAATACTCTTTCGATCAACCCATGTAGAAAATTATCAGCTAATTTTGACTTAAATCTTATTTATATTTATAACCACTTGCATTTTAAAGCAAAAAAAAAAAAAGTACCCAAAATTTGCTACTCTATAAGATAATTTCCATTCCTGAATCCATAATGTCTTCTGAGTGCTTGAGGATAAGTTTGGGTAAGGAAGAAAAATAATGCTGCAGAAATATGGTGAGAGGAAACAATCTTTGTGCTAAAGAAACCAGTATTCAGTGGGACCTTCCCTTCCTCCTACAATATCAGATATTCTCCATCATGCTTCTCAGAGAGGGCCACTGATCAATTTTTATAGGTCCATTGAAACTTGGCCTCCTGACCACTATCAGGAATTTACAACATACATATAAATAGGTAATGAATATTAAAAGACTGATTTGAATGCCAAGTCAGGTTTTTTTCACCCAGAGAATTGTTGAATAGAACAGACTTCCTTTGACAGCTACTCCCACATGTTATAATATATGCACCATATTCCTTACTGTAGAGTTATCGTTAAGGCCACAGAAACTAGATCTTGTCTATATGAAAAAAACAAGGCTATATATGTTACTAATGATATTGCTTTGATATTTATACATAGTATCTTGCTATTTGCCTTTGCCTTTAATATGTATTTGCACTTTAGTTTCTAAAACTATTCAAAAGCCAAGTAGTTAGTTATTCACTAAGTTCTCATTAGTCACTGAATTCAATTTATAAAACTTTTACTGTCAGGTAGTAGCTGTAGACTTTTATAAGTTTGATACACATTAAACAAAGGGACCAAGACAAAATGTAATTTCTATGCTAACAAAGCCAGGATCCTTTATCATAATACTAAAATTATCCCTAATGTTAGGAGTTAAATTAGAGTAAAAGCCAACATTAGAAAAGATTTTCATAAGGTTTTTTTGAGTGGAGGGCTTTATCTTTTCTTTTCTTTTTTCTTTTTTTTGTCTTAAGAGCCAACCATTTTACATTAAAAAATTCATTAAAGTTTGTTGCAATCGATACATATTCTTATCTTCCACAGCAGCTTGAGGGGGTATAACCCAAGGGGTAGACGTCATGACAACAGGAATTTCTGGCTCTGAGCATCCCCTGTGTAAATGCTGGTACCCCAGTCCTCCTAGCCCTCAAACTTTCTCCTTTCCCTTGGCAGGTCCTAGAAGAGTAAACTTGATCTGCTTGACAGCCATTGAAAGAATTTCATCTCTGTTCTCTGCCTGACTGCCTCGGCACGCCTGCCCCTCTGGCACTCTTCAGATGGGTAATGACCTTGGTCTGACACCTAGGGGTCACTGCTTCACAGTTTGTGCTTAACCAACCATCACCGTCCTCACTGCTGATATTGGATTAGGTCCCTTATAGTCAATATCTATGTTATTCTGGGTGATGAGGGAGTGGAGTGAACTTGGGAACTCTCTGTCTCTGCTGGTGTTATAACCCTTTCAATGAATTTCTAAATGGGGTGGTCTTGCTTTCCACTTTTATAGCACTCACAGTATCAAATTTTACATTGACACATTTCCTTATGGTTCTTAGGTCTTATACTCTGTCTCTGTCATCAACTTCTGTGGCACTGGGTCAGGTAACATTTAAAGTGATACTACTTAACTCCTGAAGTGTCTGGACACTTTGACTCCCAACTATTCGGAGTGAGTTCCCTGCCTACTTCAGATCACCCCCAAAGAAATTAGGGGGCAGCCTCTCTGTCTCGCCTGATCCTGTCCTATGGAGACTACTGTGAGTTCCAGAGTATTCTCTCTCTCTCCCTCTCCCTGTCTCTGACCCTCTCCCCATCTGTTTCTTGAGATCCATAAGAGCCTCTGGTGGCCCTACTTTTTAAAGTGCTTAAGTAAAGTCCCCATGTTAAATGTAACTTTTACTTTTTAAGAGAAAAACTCACTTTCTGTCAACAAAGGCATAGAAACATAAAATTCTATTTATAATAGACTTATAATTACTCATTCATAGAATGTTAATGTAAATAATAATATGACTCTTCATTTAATATTACGTAGTTCAGAAAGAGATAAAGAGAAAGCATTGCACCTGAAGATCATATGTAAAGTCAGTCTTTACTATTCAGTTTTCTAAGTTTTATTTTTCTTATCAGAAACCGTTTTGTATTTCGTTAGATCAACCATCTCGGTTCTTCAGAGTTAACTGGGTTTTTATAACTGTTATTCACAAACATTCAATAGTGTGTGTGTGTTTTTGTTTTTTGTTTGTTTGTTTTTTGTCAAGCCTCTTTTCTGAGTAGGCCCCTCAGTGAAGCTGCTGGGAAGAATTATTTCCTGGAATGAAATATCCTGGCCAGAGTGACACACTCCATGTTGTATTTGCCACGAAGTTGATGAAATTATGCCTTTCAGCAGAGTGCCCCATATCTCCTTCTTTCAAGAGTAGGCATTTTCTTTCCTTTTCTTTTTTTAAAGGTTTTATTTATTTGAGAGAGGGAGAGACAGCGAGGGAGCGAGAGAGAGAGTGGGAAGGTCAGAGGGAGAGGGAGAAGCAGGCTCCCCGCTGAGCAGGGAGCCTGATATGGGGCTCAATCCCAGGACCCTGGGATCATGACCTGAGCCCAAGGCAGATGCTTAACCGACTGAGCCACCTGGGCGTCCCTAGTGCAATAAACTCTTGAAGGCATATTTAAACACAGCCTGGTACGTTGTGTGGTACAGACCCGATGCTAATGTCCGTTGATTGTGCAAGCCACACTAACTAGTAAAAGCTGTGGTTATATGGGACTCTATCTGACTCAATAAACAAATATCCAAATGTTTATTGAGCATCAACTATGTACAAGGCCTTGGGCTGAGTTAAAATACTAAACTGAGCACAAGCTGACCACAAGCAGGAGAAAATGTTACAAACACAAGTATGCTTATTGGGAAATATGCAGAGATCATAATTTTAAGGGAAAACTGAGAACAGCTATGCAAATATTTTGTGGAAGTTTTCCATGTGTTCTTAGGAAATACTTAGAGTTTCTACTTTCCTAAGTATTCTTAAACACTCTCTTTTATTCTAAGATCCTGGTAAAATCTTAGTGGATCGATCTCATCTCCCGGGGCTCTGTTTATTGCCCTGATATAGGTTTACTATGCAGTGGTATATCTACCATCTCTCCAAACATGTTCTGTGCTCTTCCTTTAGATTCATGTCAGGTTCCAATATATGAGAAGAGAATCAGCTGAGAGGTCTGCACAATGATGGCCTTATTTAGGATAGTGCCTATGTTGTTGAAACAAAAGACTCAAAAATATAGATACCAAAGTGGTGGCTCTATAATATGGAGAACACAATTCTGTCCATCTTGTTACTTTTCCATCCCTAGGGAGTTGGCTTCATTTTTGTGCCTGAAAAGAGCTCCCCACCACATCCTGATTCCAGCTTACTTGAAGGAGAAAGAGTGAAGGAAGCACCTGACACAGAAGTTGCATATATCATTTATTTACATTCCATTTACTATGCAGTCATTAGCTATATTTGGATCTAGCTTAAACCTATCCTTAGTATGGAAGATGAGGGATATTGAGGACAATTAGCAGACTCTGCCACATACTAATATGATCTGGATCTCTTAAAAAATTGTCTTTGAAAAACAACAATAGCAGTTGGTGCTCTGGCATGCTACATCACTTCCATCCTAGTTCCCTTGAGATTCTTACTAGTACTTAGAGTACAGGGGTGGAGGTAGTAAGAAAACAGTAAAGAAGGGGCGCCTGGGTGGCTCAGTTGGTTAAGCGACTGCCTTCGGCTCAGGTCATGATCCTGGAGTCCCTGGAT